GATTAAAGGCTTTATACGTGAAAAGGCTTAATTTGCACCAGTTTGTTTTTCGATTTCGAGGGATCTGTACGAAATGTACAGTACTTCCAAACTTTGTTTCACCTCCGGCAACACTTGTGTTGGGCGGGTCAGTGTCAACTGGTTTTCGTTTGTGATGGATTCGGTTAAAAACAGCAGCACTGTATTTTTTTGCTTGTAGTGGAACTGCTATAGAAGGATACCAACACACCCTCACTGTATGGGAAGACTACACATAGTCTCTGAAGGCATATGCACACACGCACATATATTATTAATTTTTTCCACCGGAGAAAGTGTTAGTTGAGAAAACGTCGAAGTGTTACAACTTAAAACAACTCACCAAAGCCCAAGCGCCTTTGCCTGCGCTCCTGAAACAGCAGAGCTCGAGACTGCTGCGAAGTGCGCCCGAGCTCCACGGCCGCCCCCTCCTCGCCTCGCCTCGCCGAGGCCGGGGCCGGGTTGGCCTGAGAGCCATGTACCCCTCACCCCAGCAGCCGGGCGGGCAGCGGCAGCAGCAAATTCCACCTAAAGAGACGGCGGCGCGGGCTGATAAACGGTGACAGCGGATGACCCACCGCGGTCTGCTTCCCCTCGCTTTAACTCCCCCGTTTATGTTTTGACTTCCCTTCAAAAGACAGTAAACAACAAGCCCTGAGTGGGAATAAACAGAGAGCCCTTCAGCCCCGCAGCAGCCGGGAGCTAATTCCGAATTGTAACAAGCCGGGGCCAGCGTGCTGAGCCGCGGCGGGTCTGCGGGCGGACGGGAGGGGGGACACGGATCCGCGGACAGGGCACGGCGGCGGCGGGGCTGAGGGAGGACGGCGCTGCTGTTCCGTGTCGGGATAAATCGCCTCTTCAAAAATTCGGCGGCTGGGAAGGGGACGGCTCGGACTGATGCGTATCCAGAGCAAACCCGAGCTTTAGCAGCGAATCCCGGTGGTGGCACTATTAATGACGACTATTAGAACAATAATAACAGTAATCAGGGTCTGGCCAGGCGCTGTCGGGTCCGTTGGTGTCGCGGCCAGAAGGATGCTCTGTAACCTCCCGGGTTACCCGCACACTTGGGTTGCTCGGAGACGCCTCGGAGCCAGGCGGGTCGCTTGCCCTCCCTGCCCTTCCCCGGCCGGGGAGAGCCGGCTTCGGGCGCGCAGAGGGAGCAGCCCGCTCGGGCAGGAGCGTTGTGGTAAAACACTCCCAGGAAAATATTAATACACGCAACAGAAGGTTAGCGGAGTTATTATCCTTTTCAATTCATTTTTTACTTAAAAACGCAATGGAATTATTCATTTTATTAAGGGGGAAGAAATTAAAGATTAGGCTTTAGGCGGTATTTTACCTCCCTCTAATCGCTTCTGGGATCGGATTGGAGTAATCCTGACGACGAGATGAATTCGCCAGTGACTCGGATTTTGAATGCATGTAGAGATACGTTATGATAATAATGCAAGTGAGCAATATCAAGAACATAGCTTAGGAGCGAATGAAACACAAAGCTGATTACGGGGAAAAAGAGAACAGCAGCTTTCCCGGGCAGAGCACGAAATCAACTCGAGGCAAAACTTTTGCCCTTAATTCCTCCGACGGTTCGTAACACTGGGAAGCCGGCAGGCCCCGTCGGCCCCTTCTGCCGGGAGTCGATAAGTGTCGCCAGACTGGAGGGAGCCCCGGGCCCGTCATGAACCCGCCAAAAGAAACCGGCCAAGAAGTTTCTTATTGCTACCTTCAGAGCCTGTAAATCTCTCTGGCTCTAGCAAAACAAACCTGCACTAGCACGACTGCAGGACATTTGCAGCTCAGCAGATATGCAAAATCGCTAAAAAGATGCGGTCCGAGAGCAAGGCAAAGCTCAGGACAGGACTGAAAAAAATCTACACTGATTTTAGTAACTCTATCTATACTGCGGGCAACTCCAGAATTAACAAGGCTCCATCTCTGAGACGGAATGGGATGACTTTCCCCCCCAAAAAAATTTTAAAAACATTGCTTTTAGATCGCTATTGAATAATTAGGCACTAACATAAGTTTTCCTGCACAGTACAAAAAGAAAGGGAGACGTATCCGAAAGGAACTAACGAATAATAAAGCTCCCGTTTCTCCAAGAGTGTACCTCAGTATGGAGGATAATTGCAATGGCAGGGCTGTAATTGCTGCTTTGGGATATTTACCCTGCTCAAATGACACTACATATTTTACTTTCAAACACATGTCAAAAAGTCAATCCCAAAAAGACCAGTTAAGAGCAAGCTGTTAACATATTAAGTATATGGGATTTGAAGCCTCTAAAACCCACTCAACAATAATTCCCTTCTTCAGCACCAATCAAGAGGAAATTTGCCTAGATTGAATTAAATGTAAATTGCTCTGAAGGAGGAAACTCTCCTCTGGCGGACACAAAATACGCGAGAGACACCGACACACCGGAGAAGCAGGGGAACACGGCTCCGGCCCCCGTCCCACCTCTCCCCTCCCCTGCGGGTCACTGCTGCCTCCTTCTCCCCCAGGTCGGTGACACCGGCCGAGCCGGGGCTGGTGGTGCCAGTGCGGGAAGCAGCAGGTAAGAGGCAGGTGGGTGCGGCAGCCCGATCAGGGTCAGCAATTACGGTCTTAACGCCCTGACCCATGTGCCGTGGGGGACTGGGGGTAGGGAGGGGGAGGTGAGTGGCGCAGCCCCGGGCAACGGCCCCCCATCCAGGCCGGGGGGAAACAGGGAGCAGGGCTGGAGCCGGGCATCACGGCTGGAGACCCCTCAGGGCCCAGCACGGATTCCGCCCTTCCTTCGTCCCACTCTTGCCCGCACGGCTGTGTCCACCCCGGCAGGTTCCGAGGCCAGCCCCGGCTCTCTTGCTGCCCGCCTGCGCTCCGGGCACCGGCGGGACGGGGCGGACACGGAGGTTGCAGGGCGTGCGGGGCACATCCTCTGCAGCGAGGGTTGCACGGGCCACGGCCCATCGTTCGACGTCCGTCCCGGAGACAGCAGGATATTCTCTTCCTCCATCCCCCGCAGCTCCCCGTTGCTGGCACGGAGCTCCTGACCACGGAGGTACCGTCGTGGAACCGCCGCTGCCTTGCCCTCCTCAAACGGAGCCGCGGTGGCCCGGGGCGGCGTCGGCCAGGTCCAACCGCCGAGGGCGAGGATGCCTCCCTTCATTCCCTCCTTCCGTCCCTCCATTCCTACTTCCTTCCCGAGGCCCCCAGCCCTTCATCCCTGCTCTCACTTTCCCTCAGGCTGGTTGTCCTGGGCCGGGAGGTGATGGGGAGACACAGCCTTTTCGGGTTCTTCGGCTGCTACCAGAGCAGCGGGGGCCGCGCCTCCCTTGCCTCGCTGGAGGCTTCTCTCCATTAGCAAAACCGAGACCTCCTGCTTCTCTCCCTCGGTCCCGGAGAAAGGCAGCGCTGGACATCTGGAGGGAAGGCTGCCCCATGGGTCCCTCCGCTGGGGGAAGCGGCCCAGCCGCTCTCTGCGGGAGGTGGAAAGAACGGAGGGACCCTTGGCTTCTCCCTGGGGTTACTTCGGTAGCAGCCTCTCAGTGAGTAGCCAAGTGAACCCCAGGCCGGAGGGAAAACGGGATCTTGTCCTGAGCCCGAATTGTCGTCTGGTGGGATGGGCGGGAACACAGAAAGCCCCATACCCACTGCTGCTCCTCTCATCTCCCCGACCACCCCCGCTTCGCTGTAAGTACGAACAGCCGCTGGAGCTGCCCGCCCCGAATAGGGCCGTCAAGCTTCTCTTAAATACATGGGCATCGCATCTGTTTAGGTGCATATATACCTATAAGCAGTGTGGAATCTGTATATTCCTTCGTGTATCTATACCGGCCCTGAGTTTTCGGTATTTGTGTTGTGCATTTATCATATAAGGACAGACAAGCTAAACTTAGTGTATATGCAGGTTACATATATATATATGTATGTAAAAATATATAAATAGTGCTTCAGATTTAAAAGGCAGTCCCTACCTCTTTTTTCTTCTCTTCCCCTGCCCCAGGTTTTGAGTCATCCTTTTGCTCTCAAGCACTCGTTCTATTTGGCCCGGGAGGTGCCTGCCTCCCCTCGCGCTGCTCTGGCCGTCTGCTTGCCGCAAGTCCCCCGCTTAATTGTCTACCGTGTTTCCCAAAAGCTCACCACCATCTGACCTTGTTCTTTAAAGCAGTGAGCAGACCAGGAGCAGTCTCAGGAGCAGAGCAGCCATCTCCCTCCCTCCCTCAGACACACACACGTACGCACGCACAAAGAGAGCTCGGGCTGGAAAGTGGCAAGGAAATAAACAGCTTCCCCTCCAGCCGCTTCTTCTGCAGCACCTCGTTTGACAAATACCCTGGTGCTTGCCCTTGAATTGGGTTTCACATCCCTATTTAGTTCTTGGACAATGATTTTAGATGATGTCACTTAAAGCCAAACAAGAAAATTGATCTCGGATTTGCTTGGCCTCTAAAGCTTGGTTAAGCAGATTGCAAATAATAATAATAAAAAGAGAGAGGGAGGGAGGCAGAGGGGAGAGCGGAGAGGAGGGAAAGCCACCTCCTTCCCTGGGCGGGGGAGGCGCGGGCGCCAATGAAAAGTAACCGCTTGCTGGGGGGGAAAAAACTTTTCCTGTTGACTGTTGGAAGCGAATTGAGCAATTATCTAGTTTACCTTCTCCTCTTGGAAGTTAACGATTGGCGAGATCTTGGCTGCGTTATTGACACAACACTTTCTATTGATAGAAATAAGTAGCGATTGTCCCGAGTCATTGGTGCGCCAAAGTAAACTGTGATGGGCTGGCATGAGTCCACTGGACTGAGAAGGCTGGTTCCGCCGGCGGAGACTGTGGTGATGGTGGCGGCGGCGATGATGCTGGTCTCCCTCCTCGCAGATCAGTAACAAGAAAAGGGGCAGAGAAAGTGAGAGGGGAGAGGAGGGAAAAAAAAAAAAAAAAAAAAAAAAAAAGAGGCGTCTACCAGAGCGGCACAAACCGGGCGAACAAATGCAATTCAGCCATGGACAATAGTGGCCACCACACGGCGACCAAAACCCTAGCGACTCCTCCAGCCAGAGAAAGCCTGTCTGCCAGGAGCAACATGATCAGCACGCCCAAGCCCCTCGCCTTCTCCATTGAGCGCATCATGGCGCGGACTCCAGAGCCCCGCTCCATCCCCGTCCCGCAGCTCCTCCATGGCTCCGTGGCCAAAGGCGACCCCAAGCACCCGCTGCATCTCAACTCTTCCATCCCCTGCATGATCCCATTTGTCCCGGTGGCGTACGACACCCTGCCCAAAGCGGCGGTGGCCGGAGCGGAACCCAGGAAGGCTCACTTAGACTCCTCTTCCTCACCCTCCTTTAGCTGCGGCGATCTCTTGAACTGTGCCCTGAGCTTGAAAGGAGATTTCCCCCGCGATGCCCTGCCCTTCCAGCAGTACAAACTGGTAAGACCCCGAGTGGTCAATCACTCCTCCTTCCACGCCATGGGAGCCCTGTGCTATTTCAACCGAGGCGACAGCCCCTGTCACCCGTCCTCCAGTGTCAACATCCACCCGGTGGCTTCTTATTTCCTCAGCTCTCCCTTGCACCCGCAGTCCAAGGCTTACCTGGCGGAGCGGAACAAGGTGGTGCTGCCGACCGTGGACAAGTACCCGGCGGGGGTGGCCTTCAAGGACTTATCGCAGGTTCAGTTGCAGCACTACATGAAAGAAAGTGCTCAGATCCTCTCAGAAAAAATCTCCTATAAAACCTCTGAGATCAGCCGCGGCTCTCCCAGCAGCAAGCCCAAAGTTTTCACGTGTGAAGTTTGTGGAAAGGCAAGTAGCGCCGCAGCCCCTTTCCCTTCCTCGGCCTCCTGTCCCCGTTCGTCTGTCCGCCGGTTGTCAGTCCCTTGCTTGTTTGATTTTTAAACGACGGCTTCCCCTCATCACTCTCATCTTCTAATAGCAATTTCATTTAATTATTTTTGTCTGATTCCTCTTTACAGGTATTTAATGCACATTATAACTTAACGCGCCATATGCCAGTGCACACGGGAGCCAGACCCTTTGTTTGCAAAGTTTGCGGGAAGGGTTTTAGACAGGCGAGCACGCTTTGCCGGCACAAGATCATCCACACCCAGGTGAGCGCCCCCTCCGTCCCTTCCTTTCTGCCCAAGACCCTCCACTCACTTTTTTCGGGTTGCTCGGCGGTGTCCGACTGCTCTGAGGCAGCGGCGTGCGGTGTGGGGCGGTCGATCCAGAGCCGCGGGGGGATGTCGTTTGCCCCAAGCGCGGTAGGTACCTCCGGGTGTCCCGCACCGGCAGCTGCGAGCCGTCATTTAACACACACACCACACAAACTAGGTCATACACCACGCAAAACAGCACACAGACCCCGGCAACCAGAAGACAGACCCCGCAAAACAGCCAACAAGCCGTGACTTGGTGTTTGTTTCTCTCCAGGAAAAGCCACACAAGTGCAACCAGTGCGGCAAAGCCTTCAACAGGAGCTCGACGCTGAACACGCACACTCGAATACACGCCGGCTACAAACCATTTGTCTGTGAATTTTGTGGCAAAGGATTTCACCAGAAAGGTACAAGTCTCCAGCTCCCTCTCTCTTGCCCCGCTTTCCTCTCCCCAGTCGAGGTCAAGTGTCGGGACAATTCGCGACAGGAAAGCTGATGGGGAGTTAATTTTGTTTTAAATATTTGTTATTAGATATTTAGGTTAATTTTAAGTATCTCTAGCCCCGACATATTTCCTTTGGCCTAGCCCACGGAGCGGGGCAGAGGTCTCGTTCCGGGGGGAGCGCGGGGCAGTCATTCCGCGGGAAGAGCCCCTTCTCCCCGCAGTGCAACACGCAGCGCGATTCGGCAAATAAGTTCGCTGATTTTTTTCGCCTCCAAATGCAAGAATTTAGTTATTTCCCTCGCCCCCCCCCCCCGCGTTGCTGGGAAGGCTAAATCCAGGCGTTTTATTTCTGCAACTGTCGCGATTTTTGTTTTTTCGATCGTTCCCTTGTCGTCTGTCCGAGGAACAGCCGCGGGATGATGATGAGAAGGTGGGCATTTGCTGAGAGATCGGCGGTCGTTTAAGCCTAAAGCCGAGCTCTGGGCACAAGACAGGGTTTGGGGATTTTTATATTTTTCTCCTTTTTGCAGCGTCGATCTTGCAAACCCAGATCCCTTTGACCTTCTTGTCTCGTTCCCAGGCAATTACAAAAACCACAAGCTGACTCACAGCGGGGAGAAGCAGTTCAAGTGCAATATCTGCAACAAGGCTTTCCACCAGGTGTACAACCTGACCTTCCACATGCACACCCACAACGACAAGAAGCCCTTCACCTGCCCCACCTGTGGCAAAGGCTTCTGCAGGAACTTTGACCTCAAGAAGCACGTCCGCAAGCTGCACGACAGCGCCCTGGGACTGCCCCGGCCCCCCGCCGAGCTGGGGGGGCCCGACCCACCGCCCCGCCCGGGCCGCTGCTGCAGGGCCCGCCGCCGCTCCAGCCCTGAGGGGCGGCCGCCCGTGCGAGCCCCCACCGCCTCTTTGCATGCACCTGTTAAGCGGTTTTGTGTATTATGCTCTATATCGCCACTAACGTTTATGGGACTGATTGTTGGGGTTTTTTTATTTTTTTTCGTTTGTTCTTTAAAGACTCAATTTTTTGTTGTTGTTGTCGTTGCATCTCAGGTGGAGAGATGGTTTAAACAAAAAAAAGAAAAAGCGCCAAGCCAATTTCTGCTGTATTTATTTGGGATCTGTATTACCCGAGCGGGGAACGCTGAACCACTTTATAATTATTTCGATGTATATATATCCCCACTGTGTTGATCCTGTCCTGCCTCTGCTGCCTGCTGGTTATCCCACCCTTCTTGGTTTCCTCCTCTCCCTCTTCCCCCTGAATATAGTATCTATATGGACAGAACTGTTCTCTATGTACGGATTTGAATTTCGGATTGATTCTTGCAAGTGGAGGGGAAAAAAAAAAAAGAAAGAATTCGTTGACCTGGTGGAAATAAACCTTTGCCGAGGAGTGACTGCGGCGGCGGGGCTGCGGTGCGGCCGGGCGGGCGGGGACCGCGGCGTTGGTGCTGCCGCACGGCAAAGCTCTCCCGCGTCCTTGCCAAAACACTGAAACAACCGCTAAAGACTTTAATTAAGAGGGGTAATTAGTTCGGATTGATCAAAGCCGAGTTGTTATGTTATTAGCTGCTCAGCAGACTCTGCCAAGCTGAGCCTTGAAAACAAAGCCCGCCCGTCGGTGGGCGGTTGAGGAGCAGCGGGAGGGGGCGTCTGGGATTATACGGCTTCCGGGGTAACCGAGCCAGGGAGGGGAGACGGGTGCTACCCTCCGGGAAGGGCAGGCGGGCCCGCTCACCTCCCGCTGCTGGCGCTGCGCTGTGCCCGCAGCTCACCTCATGCTCAGGGTCCTTTCCCGGGCAGGGGGCCAGGCAGTGCTTCCTTTCGGGGTAGGGCCAGAGGACGGCGGCGCGGCGCTGTCCGAGGAGAAGCGCAGGGTGCCCCATGGGCGCTGGGACCTACCTGCGGATCCGTCCCGGAGTGAGCCCTGCAAGAACAGGTGATGTGGTGCCGCGGGGCATCCCTGGTCTCCCCCAGGTTTTGCAGCACCTGGAGCCCTCCCTGAGTTTTGGCTTTTGGCGAGGAGAGAGACGCCATGGTTAAAATCATACCTAACGCGTTACACCCAGGAGAGGGGTATCCCCTTGCAGGCGGCGCTCCTGCCTCCCCCGGGCCGCCCCGTCGGGGATGTCCGCAACCAGCAGGTCTGGCACTCAGGTTGGGGCCGGCGACTCTGAGCTCACCGCGGGGCTTTGAAAGCGGTTGAGAGGGGAAACGCGTCTCTCTCACACGTCTCGGATTACCGCGGTAATCCTATGAGCGGGAGGCTCTGCGTGTAAAACGCAAAGCAACAGGTCGGATCCACACCTCGGGCAGAGCCCGCGGCACCTCGGCAGTGCTCAGGCCCTGGGGAAAAGCGTCTAGAAATTTTGGGGGGAGGGACACACCTCAGTGCATCCTTCTGACACGCGCTGGCGGCGCAGCGGCCTGGGGACGCCCCCTGGAGCGGTTCTCCCCTTCGGAAACCTCAGGGAAACGGGGACCCGCTCCCCACTTTCCTCCGGGGACTGAGGCAGCAGGAGCAGAGGGATAGGGAGGTGAGTGACCCCTGAAGTGACCTCTGGTAAAGCGGGAGGAGGGCTGAAGAGGGGCAGGGAGGACAGGGTCCTGCAGAGCTGAGGATACTTTCCCTCCGGCTCTGCTCGGATCTTGGGACCAGGACAGTGTGATCCCCAGGGATTTATCTCCAGGGATAAATTCCTCCCAAATCAGATCGCTGCAGTGTGTCGATAGTTAAAAGAAAAACGTCTGCAACACCTAACAAAAGGTAAGATGTCCTAAACATCCCGTTAAAATGATGCAGGTGTGCTATTTCTGTGAGCCTCTGCTTGAGGGAAATAATTTGAAGTCCAGCTTACTGTTCTTATTGAAGCAGAAGTCCAACTTGCTTTTCTTACTGCTGAGCAAATGTGAATAGTACAAGATACTGCAGCTATCTTAGCAAGGTGTTAAGTTTTATAACTCTTTTAAGCAGTTCAAAACTATTAAAGCACTGCAGCTATACTGTAAAAGTCACAAAAGTGTTTTATATCACAACAAGAGGATTTGAATGTAAATATATGGTGAAACAAAAAGAGAATATAATCTGGCCACCTTGTGATGAGCAGCAGTTTCAAGTCAAAACCATACATGATGCCTGAACACACCACAGAAGACTATGCATGCTGGTTACTCAGATGTATGGCAACTCTTTGCTCTGCCTTGTTTCTTCAGAGGCTGTAATTTCTTCCTTTTTATGGTTAGAGAGGGAGAGAGAATTTCCAGTGTTCCTTGACCATAGACCATTTACAGGTTTATAAACAATAACTGGTATTTTGCCTTTCCTCCTGTAAAAGATCTGCAGTCACTTCATAACCTGTATTCTTCTGTATCTTTCTAATGAAAAACAATATTTTGCTAAGGAATGCAGGTACAGGGGTGACCATGTTTCGAAATGGAGTGGAAATGAAGCACTAGCTTTATTCCAGGGTGAAGTAGAGAAAGTCAGTGATGAGCATGAATAAGCATTTCTCCTCCCTAGATTTCTTAGGGTAAACACTACAGATGTGGGACCTCACAGGGAGATATGGATAGATCATTTGTTATTTCACCATATAAAACCATTTTGTGTCAAAGACTGGGATTAATTCATGTCTTGGAAGGCCTGCACAGAATTATCTTTCATTTCTTGTCTTTCAAGATTAATCTCAGGTTAAGTGCATTTCTAGTTAATGGTCAGAGGCAATTCAAAGCTCATGAAATCATCATGAGAGAGAAAAGCTATAATTTGATATATATCCAAAGTGTAGAGCTGTTAACAGCTCTCTGCACCACAGAGAAGATTAATAATTTGTATTATTTTTTTTTAATTGTGAATAATTTTGATAGGAGAAATTGAGTCATCTGTACCTAAAAGAAAGGTCATATGTTCTCACTCCTGTGTGCCGCTCAGCATCATTGCCATATTATCCACATCCTGTGTGACAACTGGTCAGCCTCATTCTTTCAGTTTCTTGTGGACGCTGGGAGGATAAGGGCTTTTGGTGTGTCTGGATCTGCTAAAATAGGCATGCAGAGTTCAGTATTAGCATCCTGACAACAGTGTAGCCCACCCCCCATCAATCACAACAGCATCAGTACTGAATGAAAGGGGGACAAATATGGTGCCTATGGACCCTGGAGCAGAGAGTCCTTGTAAAGGAGGAGCTGCTGCCCTCTACCCACTGTTCCCACCCAGAATTTTTCAGATGGAACTGAATTTCTTCCACACTTGTCAGATGCTACAGTTCTGTTAACGTGTTGATATCGAAAGTTCTGTGTATCTGAGAGAGCTACCAGAATTACCGAAGCTCTCATATATCACTGTAGAAATAAAACACAGCAACAGAAGGATCTTCTCACAGCATCAGATGTAAAGCTCTTTTTGAAGCTGAAATGGTACTCACTTTGCTTTATTACTGCTTTATTTGTGATCAGACACCTCCCAGCAGCAACAACAACAACAAATCCCCCTACCCAAAGAAAAGCTAAAAAACCTCAAACAAACAAAGATATTAGTAATGATGTTTGGGATTTTATTGTTGGGGGGGTTTTGTTTGGTTTGTTTGTTTGTTTGTTTGTTTTAGTTTGTTTTTATTTTTTTTAAAGAAAAATACATGTCAAAGAGTAAATTAAGAACAAAGTTTTTTAATAGCTTCCAAAACCATTCTCTAGTTCATGGGCAGTCATATAGAAATCCAGCAAAATGAATATTGGACACTATTTAGTCAAGGATGCAGTTTTTTAGATTATTTTTATAACGATTTTTAATTAATCCCTCTTCCTGCTCCCTCCCCCTATTTTTAACACTACAGTGGTGAAAATGGAGAGATGTAAGAAAAGTGCCTCAAATTTATCTTAAGCCATATCAAATGAAGGCATATCAGTCACAGCTTAGTACCAGAACAGTTTATTTGGACAGTGCTTGAAAACTGGCAATTAAAACACTCTTACTTTGTACCTCCTCTGCCAGACTTAGAATGGGAGAGTCACCGTTTTTCCTCTTTGGAGCTTGGTCAAGAAAAAAAGGACCTAATTTGCTCTTGGGATTTTGACATGCTAACATAAAATAATTATAACTCTGTGGGTATGTAAATCTTTCTGCCTGCTGTCTGTTTGGCTACTGGTTTGCTCAGGTACCGTCTTTACAGAGGGAGAATTTTTTTGTACCCTGCTGCCAACTGTAGTAGTAACAATTTAGTAGTAACTTCCACTTTTCCTGCAAAAGCAGTGGTAGCTCCAGTTTCACTCCATGCTGGGTCTCCCTTCTCCTTCTGGCCTGAGGCTACAGGCTGGATAACTTTTGGATGATCACTTAGGGGCTGCACTGCACACCGTGACTCTCTGCAACAGCTAGTTGGACTCACTGTTAGTCCTGTGGGTTTGCAGAAAGTTGTCCTTTTGCTTCAGTGATATGCAACTCTTGAAACAATACAAAACTTCTCTTTTTATCTCTGGTGGTATTATGAAGTTCGAGCAGTGTCTGTGTTCAGTCCTCCTTTGAAGCTTCCATGGAAGTTTTAATGGCTTCACTGTTCAATCACTCTGATGTAATAGAATCCTTGTGTATTTTTATTAAGCACAGTATTAAATCCAATAACCATCTGTCACGAAACAAGTGTTTTAAGGTCACTCAAAAAATGCACCACCACATCATGTCAGTGGAAATATGAAAATTCCTCCCTTTTCATATTTGAGATGGCTAATAATTCCCACCATTATTATGTGAATTCTAAAAACCCATATTCAGTTACCAATGAAGTAAAACACATAGAGAAGCTGCTTTTCTGCCTTTTTTTCCCCCTGAATAATTCTATGAAAATTAATACATAATAAGTTTTATTTTGTGTGGAAAACAGAAGAGCAATCTTTTGCAAATGTAAGCATGACCAGCTTATCTGCAACAGCCACAGGTAAGTTAAATATTTATTTTCAGGGATGGGATTATAAAACTGAGTTGCAGACTGACACAGCATGTGAGAGAAACCCTGATTCACAGTACTGTAGCAAAGAGGGATTAAATACAACCAATGGAACAGTATAAAACTTTTCAAAATATTTCTAAAACACCTGTTAACCTCTTGATATTACCATGAAACATTTGAAGAGTTTATACCCACATAAAAACCTTGTCTAACTCAGATTTAGTAGAAAAGATCTTGAACAAGAACTTTCTTTCTAAATAACAATAATGAAAACTCTTGGATGATAAATAAGTTCAGTTGAATTTTTTTCCTGAACAAGTAAGAATTTGTAAAGCAACCTCTGCTGAAGTTAAACAAAAGCTGAACCACAATATGTTTAGAAAAATAATCATTTAGCTTTAACTAGAAAACACCTTAATAGATCGCTTTTTTTCCTCTGTTCACGGGAAAATAAAAAAGAAATGACAATCTTACTTTTTAATCTACTTTATTTTAAAGGAAGAATATGCTTCCTCTTAATAAAAACTATTACAAGAAATGCTGGAATCACATA